TACTGAAGGTCAAGTGAAATACATTAAAGCAAAGCCAGAACAGAGGTTTGTGCGCCAAAGGTATAGTTTAACAGTAAAGCAAAGTCAAAACTGAGGTTCGTGCGCCAAAGGTATAGTTTACTGAAAGTCAAGTGAAGTCACTAGGTCACGCAGGGAGGAGAGGACCAGGGAAAAGCGAGGTCTACTCAGGAGGAGATTACCATGATCCTCCTCGTGGCTTGCAGGTGGGAGCTATGTATATAAGTTTGCAACTGCACAGTTAGAATTGCTGAGGTCAATTAGTGTTTACCTTGAAAGAGCTTTATATTTGCTGGCATTCTTCCCATGGACTTTTCTGGGTTATTTTCCTGGAGTTTATAATTAGTTATGTTGGCTTGCTTCGGAACTGTCATCAGTGCGGTTTATTTTGGTTTTTTGTTTGCCTCATTATTTACTTTTGTGACTTTAAACTGTGCCTAATAAAACAGTGAAGTTAAGTTGAAGGCTTTACCGGACTTTAATATATGTTTTGGGTTTTGGGTTATTTTGAGAGACTACGGGTCATCACATTTTGACTTCAGCCACCCCTTCAACTTATTTTTGCTTTTTGTGGGGTGACCATGGATCAGCTCAGAGCAGAGATTGCCCAGTTAAGCCAGCAAGTGGCTCTTTTGACTGCACAGGTGGCACAAATGCAAGCTGCCCGGCCACGCCAAAAATGCCCAGTGGCAGTGCCAGATAAATTTGATGGTTCGCTGGCCCAATTTCCAGCATTTTTTGGGCAGTGCCAGCTTTACATGAGCCTTCAGCCTGAGGACTTTCCCACTGACCAGGATAAGGTGGGGTTTTTGATTAGTTTGTTGTCAGGCTCTGCAGCATGTTGGGCGACACCTCTGCTGACCCAGCCCAACCAGGTTTTGGACAATTACGCCGAGTTTTGCCATAAGTTTCAGGCCATGTTTGAGGACCCTATTCGAAGCCAAACAGCAAACAGACGTTTGAGAGAGTTGAAGCAGGGGCATGGCTCACTCATGGATTATATTGCTAGTTTTCGGGTGGTTGCTCAGGATGTACAATGGAATGAGGCAGCACTATTAGACCAGTTCCAGGAGGGTTTGTCATCGGAGCTTCTGGATGAGTTGGCGCACACTGAATGCCCTCGCACCCTTCAGGAGCTCATGCATTTGTGTCTTCGTATCGATGCGAGACTTCAGCAGCGACGGGTGTGACGACGGACAGAGACCGTATCTGTTTCCAGCAAGATGGCACCCTTGGTGGAAGTGCCTTTGGAGGAACCCATGCAGTTGGGGGCTGGCCACCCTTGCCACCTTTGACATCTTCGACATCTCCACCACAGTCGCTATTGGTGAAGCATCTTGTGCTGCCAGCAAGTGTGTTCGTGCCTGGTGTGGGAGCGGTGGAGATCCCAGCTTTGGTCGACTCAGGGGCCACAGCCAATTTCATGGATGCTCATTTTGTCAAGCAGTGTTTCATTCCTCAGCAACAGGTATCCCCACCAGTAATGGTGGAGACGATTGATGGTCGGCCCCTTCGTTTGGGACCTGTGGTTGCTGCAACCAAACCCCTTTGCATGCATATTGGGCAGCATGTGGAGGAAACCATGTTTTACGTTGCCTCAGTGCCTCATTTTCCGGTGGTGCTGGGTTTGGAGTGGCTACAGGCCCATGATCCACAGATTGTCTGGTCATCTGGAGCTGTGCAGTTCCTTGATAGGAAGTGTGCCAACCATTGCTTGCACTTCTGTGCAGGGAGTGTGCCTACGCCTGTGGACCTGGATCTACCTGCGGAGTTGGTGGACTTTGCTGATGTGTTTGGGAAGAAGGAGGTGGATCAGTTGCCTCCGCATCAGGCGTATGACTGTCCAATCGACTTGTTGCCCGATGCAAAATTGCCGGTGGGTCGGATATATTCCCTGTCGGAAGCGGAGTTGTCCGCGTTGCGAGATTTTATTGACAAGAACCTCCAGAAAGGGTTTATCTGGACTTCTACCTCCCCATTTGCTGCACCAGTGCTTTTTGTGATAAAGAAATTGGGGGAGCTACATTTGTGTTGTGATTACTGCAACTTGAATGCAATCACAATGAGGAATCAGTACCCGCTTCCCCTCATCCCTGAACTGATTGAGCAGCTTCATCAAGCTAAGATCTTTACGAAGTTGGATTTGCATGGGGCCTACAATCTGGTTTGCATTCGTGCAGGGGAAGAATGGAAAACAGCTTTCCGGACGAGGTACAGGCATTTTGAGTATACTGTGATGCCTTTTGGATTAACCAATGCCCCAGCTGTGTTCATGCATTTCATGCACAATGTTTTCCGTGTTCAATTCGTGGTCATTTATTTAGATGACATTTTGATTTGCTCAGACTTCCTGCAGGAACATTGGCAGCATGTGCGGCTAGTGTTGCAACGTTTGTGTGATAACCACCTGTTTGCTAAACGTGAGAAGTGTCAGTTTGCACAAACCACGACTGACTTCTTGGGACATCATATTTCACCTGCTGGGGTGGAAATGGACCCGGAAAAAATTCAATTGTTGCAGGCATGGGAACCTCCACAGCGGGTTAAGGATGTGCAATGACTGTTGGGGTTTGCGAACTACCACCGCACATTTATTCCCCGCTTTGCTGCCTTGACTGCTCCCCTTTCTAATCTGCTCAAGAAGGTGGAGAAGTTCCATTGGGGTGCTGAGGAACAGGCAGCTTTCGAGGTGTTGAAAGTCGCCTTTCCTTCTGAGCCTATCGTCAAACACCCTGATCCAGGCCAGCCATTTGTGGTGGAAACAGATGCTTCCGATGTGGCTGTTGGAGCAGTGGTCCACCAGGCCTATGCTCCCGCAGGCACCTCGTTCCCGTGCGCTTATTATTCCCGGAAGTTGTCGGTTCCAGAGCGCAACTATACGATTTGGGACAAGGAGCTATTGGTGGTTAAGGTCACTTTTGAGACATGGCGGCACCATCTGGAGGGGGCTCGTCACCAAATCGAGGTTTGGACGGATCATCGCAATTTGGAACACCTACGTACAGCTCGGACATTGAACCAGCGTCAAGTGAGATGGTCCTTATTCTTTGCTCGATTTGATTTCCGGGTAACCTATGTTCCGAGAGGAGGGAATCAACGCGCCAATGCCCTATCTCAGAAGCCCGAGTATACCTGAAGGGAGGATAAAATCTTGCCCCAGACGGTGATTCTGTTGGAGTGGTTTGCGGCCACCGAGGAACCTGTGGACCTTCGAGTGAGGATTCAGGAGGTGCAGCAGCAGGACCCATTTGTGACAGCTCGACGTCGAGTATTGGATGAGAATGGGAGACAAGAGACTCCTTGGGTGTATATTGGGGACCTGTTGCAGTTCCATGATTGCATTTATGTGCCTGGAGGTCCTCTTCGTGGCCTTATCCTACTTCAATGTCATGATAGTCTGGCGGCAGGACACTTTGGGGTGTTCACTGCACCTCATCTCTAGGACATTTTGGTGGCCGAGACTTAAACATGATGTGTCGGGATATGTGGCGTCCTGTGGGATCTGTCGCCTAGCCAAGTATGCTCCCTGGTCTATTGCAGCCCTTGCCCACGCCAGAACGACCATGGGGGGCAGTTTCATTGGATTTCATCATTGAGTTACCACCATCAAATGGTGCCACAACCATTTTGGTGGTGGTGCATATGTTGACTAAAATGGTCCACTTTATTCTGTGTGCGGCTATTCCATCAGCCAAGTTAACGGCTCAATTGTTTATCTCCCATGTTTTCCAGTTGCATGGGTTACCAGACTGCATGGTATCAGATCGGGGGGTACAATTTACGGCACGCTTCTGGCTGACCCTACTCGCGAAACTGCAGGTTCAGGCGTGTCTGTCGTCTGCTCATCACCCTGAAACTGATGGAGGGACAGAGAGAGTGAATGCTATTTTGGAGCAGTACCTCCGCTGTTTCAGCAATACTCAACAAGACAATTGGGTGGAGGTGCTGCCAGTGGCGGGTTCGCTTATAACAATGCTCAACCTGTATCCACCCGTGTGTCCCCTTTCTTTGCTAACTATGGGTTTCATCCACGACTTTTCCCTTTAGCCCCGTCTGATTCCCCAGTTCCGGCAGTGGATATGTTTCTGCAGGAGTTAAAAGCCGTGCACCACATGGTCCGTAATCAACTAGAGAGAGCCAAGGAAGTCCATAAACAGTTTGCAGACCGACATCGTTGCGATGTTCCGCCTTTAGTGGTCGGTGATCAGGTTTGGCTCTCGACTCGATATTTACCAACGTCGCGACCGTCGAAAAAGCTCAATCACTGTTACTTGGGACCTTTTCCAGTCGAGGTGGTGATCAATCCTGTGGCTTATCGCCTCTCCCTGCCATGGACCATGCGTATCCATCCTGTTTTTCATTGTTCCCTGTTAGTCCCTGCCTCATCCAACAGTCCGCATAGACCGGCTCCATCACAGCCGGCCCCAGTAGCCCCTCTAGAAGGGGAGGAATACGAAGTGGAGAGCATCCGAGATTCACGCCAGTTGCGGGGCCGATTTCAGTATTTGGTGGAATGGAAAGGTTATGAACCAGAGGGCTTCACCTGGGTCGATGCCACTGAGGTTCATGCTCCTCATTTGGTCCAGGACTTTCACACTCGGTTTCCTCATCATCCTCGTCCGCCTGGTCCAGGGGGAGGGGGCCCTGCGGGGGGGGG